GAGAGGAGAACCTATTCAGTAAATGGTGCTGGGAAAACTGGCTTACCACATGCAGAAGATCGAAAGAACCCCTACCTATCCCCATATACAAAAATTAACTCCAAATGGATCAGAGACCTAAATGTAAAACCTCAAACCATAAGAACCTTAGAAAATGAAGGACATACCCTCATGGAAATTGGAACTGGCATCCAATTCCTGAACAAAACTCGAAACCCACAGGCCTTAAGGGATAAGATAGACAAGTGGGACCTCATTAAACTGACAAGCTTTTGCAAAGCCAAAGAAACCATCAAGAGAGCAGGGAGACAGCCTACATACTGGGAAAAAGTATTTGCTAACTCCAGGTCTGACAAAGGCTTAACATCTTGGATCTACAAGGAACTCAAACGTGCTGAAAAGAAAAAAATAAACAGCCCCATTATAAAATGGGCAAAAGATATGAACAGATGCTTCACAAAGGAAGACATCCGAGCAGCCAACAGACACATGAAGAAATGCTCCACCTCACTAATCAACAGGGAGATGCAAATCAAAACCACACTGAGATACCACCTAACTCCAGTCAGAATGGCAATTATCAATAACTCAAAAAATAACAGTTGTTGAAGAGGGTGTGGCGAAAAGGGAACACTCCTACACTGTTGGTGGGAGTATAAACTAATGCAACCTCTGTGGAAAGCAGTGTGGCAATCCCTAAAAGCTCTATATCAATGTTTATTTGGTCTGCTATGCGTCTCACAAGCAGCTGATGATTTTGATGCACAATTTGACAAATTTTCATCAGTTCTACTTATTACTGGCTATCCTGACCTCTCTTCATCAGTGATGCTTTCTATCCTCTCAGAAAAAACTTAATCCATTTGTATACTGCTGTTTTCTTCATGTCATTATCCCCATAAACTTGGACTAACATGTCCCTGAATACACTTCCACTCTTGCCAATTTTAACAAGAAATTTAATGTTTGTTTATTGCTCTGATTCAAGCTCTGACATTCTCGTAATCGTACACAAAAACATGCAACAACAATAATGGACACCACTCAGCAAGACACTGCCACACATTGATACAGATACAACTGTGAGACACTGATATACCAAAGTTATGAAACCTGAGTTGTTTGTACAGTGCTGCCAGCGTAAGCGCACAGTGGCAAGTTTATGAACTTAATTGTTAGACCTCACGTGTGTGTGTGTGTGTGTGTGTGTGTACATACATATATAGCACTTAAAATGTGCCAGCTGCTATTTAAGGACTTTACAGATTTATCTTCTTAAAAATCTCATAGATGCTATAGGTAATTAGTATTATTACTGTCATCCTATCTTACAACTGAGAAAATTGAGACCCAGAGAGAAGGACCTTGCCCAAAGTCACACAACTAGGAAGTGGTAGAGCTAGGATTTGAACCCAGAGAGTTTGACACTTAAGGTAGGTGTCTGACCACTATTCTGTGCTGATTGTAGATCATAAACCTCTATCTTCTCTTATCACTTATCTAAAAGACTTTAAGGACTTTATAACTTATCTTTACATTTTCTGTCACTTTTTTAAAAAACAAGTTTACCATACATATAGTCAGATAAGTCTTCTCAAGTCACTTCTCATTCTATCTGTCTTCAAAGAAAAACCCTGTAAATATCCCTATTGTCAGACATTCAAAGCATCAAAATACCTCTCCAAGTTTATTTTCACTCTTCCTCAGTGTAAACCCAGAAGTTAGTGGTAAAGTGGTGTGACTCCCAAATAAGGCTTGTGCTTCTTAGCTCCCTTTCTTCTTATCAACAGTATGTTGTTTGTTATTCTTAGTATATTTTCCTCACACCTTGTTCTTCCACAGACTCCTTAGTATCTCAAATATCATGAAATCTAGGAATCCATTCTGGTTTCCCTAAACTGGATATAACCTTTTTCTTTGAACCCTTATAGAATGTTATGGATGTCATTTAAGATATTTATTATAGTCTATGTATTATTATTATTATTTTTTGAGTTGGAGTCTCACTCCGTCACCCAGGCTGGAGTGCAGTGGCACACTCACAGCCACCCCAGCATCGACCTGCTGGACTCCAGTGATCCTTCCACCTCAGCCTTCCAAGTAGCTGGAACTACAGGCATGCACTACCGCATCTGGCTAATTTTTGAATTATTGTTGAGACAAGATCTCTCCAAGTTGCCCGGGTTGATCTCAAACCTGCGGGCTCAGGCAGTCCACTTTCCTCAGCCTCTCAAAAGTACTAGGATTACAGACTGAGCCACTGAGCCCTGCCTGTATTATTTGTTTTTGTGAATTTGCCTTACACCCTCTAGTATGATATTAGAAAGTTTTTCACTACTCATGTCTAGGTCTGTTATGCCTGTATGTAGTAATATAAGACATTTAATACATACTAGAATGCAGTTTAATTACACTGTTTTATGTGTCCAAATGTAAATATTTGTATTTGAGTATAATCTGATAGTTATTGATACATTTAGGAGGAGACCATCCATTCTCGAACCAAAACCATAAAGCTGCCAAAGAAACAACAGAAAGTCTCTGCCAAAACAGAAAAGGAACTATCAGAAGAATGGAAAAACTCATCTCTTCTAAAAGATACTACCCAAGATCATAGCTTTGACTTATCTCCTATATCTTTATGTGGGAGTCCAGCATCTATAGACGTAATGGGATGTTAGTATCTTTTCATTTTTCTTTTATTTGAATATGTAGCAATTTCCTACTATAATTATGTGAAAATACAATTTGAATATTTTGAGAGGAACATTTAAGATTATAGTAGTTAAAACTTTATTTTTAAACTAGTAATAGTTAATGCTTGTAACTTGACTTTTGCTAACTTGGGTACATTGTTAATGGGATACTGAAGTTTTTTTGTGTTAGGAAGTTAAAGAACAAGTGCTTTAGTATGGAAAATACTTCATGTATATTTACAAATGGTAATTTGAAATTACAATGTACTTTTTAGCTCAATATATATTTAATAACACTCGAATTCTGAGGAATTCTATTTTTCTACTTAACATTCAATTGACAAATGTCCAAGGAACATGTTTATCATTCTGTGAACCCACAGTGGATTGTTTCCTTAAACAATTGAGGTTTTTCTTTTATTTTAAATAATTGGTAAATAAAAATTCATATTCTTTGGAACTCTATATGTCTTTCTAGTGTAGAAATTATAAGAATATGTACTTTTATATCATTTTCACTGACTTGTAAGGATATTTTAAAGCATTTCTAAATGTTAATCATTTCAGTTAAATTTCAAGACTTAAATCAGTTAATATACTTAATACTCTCTCTAAAGTAACTAATATATTTTATTTGCATAATGCTCAGGACCACTGTAATACAGATAAGCACATACTCAGAAGACAGGTGTACATACCTTGATTTGATCTGAAAACTGTCTGAGAATTCACTTACATTAAGACTTATTTCAGCAATGAATTTCTTCATTTTTATTTTATTTTTTTATTTTTTTTGAGTTGGAGTCTCACTCTGTCGCCCAGACTGGAGTGCAGTGGCCTGTCCTGGCCACTGCAGCCTCGACCTGATGGGCTCTGGCGATCCTTCCGCCTCAACCTTCCAAGGAGCTGGAACTACAGGCATGCACTACCATGCCCGGCTAATTTTTTTTGATTTATTGTAGAGATGAGGTCTCACCAAGTTGCCCAGGTGGGTCTCGAACCCGCGGGCTCAGGCAATCCACTCACCTCAGCCTCCCAAAGCGCGGGATTACAGGCTGAGCCACCACACCTGGCTCAATTTCTTATTTTTATATAGGAGATTTAGACTAGATGGTTTTTGAAGTCTTTTCCAATCACAAAATTATGTGACTTTAATATATAACACCATTTGCTATAATATCAAAATATTCAAGGTAGTATTTAAGGTGATTATTTTATTTCATATCATACTGTAGATATTTTTATTTGAAATATTTTGAAAGTTCTGGTTACATTTTAAATTCAGCCATTATTATTTTCAAAGTCTTATAAAATATTTTAAACATAATTTGGTCTTAATTTATTGAAAGTTTATCCTTTTTACAGCAAAGATTTAAAGGTGTAATAAATGGTTATATTCCTAGAATTTAATCATGCGAGTTTTAAAGCAGACATCAATGTTAACACCTGCCATCTGTTTTCTTGTTTGTGTATTGTGGGGCAATATAGGTATACAGAAAATAAAAGAAAGGGATTTCACTCAGGATAATAACTGTATAACAAAATCTGTATCACCTAATCCAAACACTTCATCACCTGAATCCTTAAATAGTAACAATGGAGTTGGAGGTCCAGTAAAGTTACCCCAAAACAATGAGAACAACCTACTGTGTGCAAGTGAACATTGCTCACCAATTCTACAATCACTCTTTTCGGTAAGAATGTATATTATTTTTTTTCTTTATCAGATGTATTTGAAGGTGGTAAATCACTTTTCTATACTCTTAATCAGATAGGCATTGCTTGTCTACTTAAGATTTGGGGTTGGGTTTAGGGATTGGGGGGAGAGGGACATAATACAGAGTAAGACACTTCCCAGCCTCAGTGAACCCAGCAGACTCCTGTATATTTATAAGGGAGGAAGAATGTGGTGGTATGAGAGTATGGTAGTTCCTCCTTATCTGTGGTTTTACTTTCTGAGGTTCCAGTTACCCACACTGTGGTCTGAAAATACTAAACTCCACAAGTAAACAATTTATAAGTTTTAAATTGCATGTCATTCTGAGTAGGGTGATGAAATCTTGGGCCATCTACTCTGTCCTGCCTGGGGTGTAACCCATTCTTTTGTCCAGTGTATTCATGTTATATACCCTATCAACCTGTTAGTAATACAGTAAGCCAACTATGTGACTACTGAGGTATCACAGCACTTGTATGTAAGCAGTTTTCACTTAATAATGACCCCAAATGCAAGAGTATTGATGCTGGCAGTTCATATATGCCAAAGAGAAACTGTAAAGCTCCTCTTTTAAGTGAAAAGGTGAAAGTTCTTTACTTAATAAGGCACAAGCAAAAAATATGGTATGCTGACATTGCTAAGTTCTACAGTAATAACAAATCTTCTATCCATGAAATTGTGAAAGAAAAAAGAAATCTGTGCCTAGTATATGTAGGACCTGTACTATCTGCAGTTTAGATGGGGGCTTACTATAATTTATTAAGAAGCGGTACATATAACTTGATACATAAAAAAGGAAGACTTTATTTTCAACATACCATGTCTACTTTTTATTCTCATATTATTTACCTGTTTGTTTCAACCATTCTTATAAATACCAAGCAGTGCTTTGACTTTTAACCAAATTCTTATCGATATACTTTATCAACTTGAGATTTTTAAAGGTTATTGAAGGTGACAGACTTTGAATTATGGTGAAATCTAAAAGAAGTGCCTATATTTCAGGAATAAGCCTATTCAAATTGAGAAAATGTATGTAGTTTTAATGTGTAGACAAATTAGTAGTACCTCCTAGGAAGTAACCATTTCTATCACAGAATTCTTGTCAGTACTCAGTATAGTCCTCCCTTATCCTTTCAGGATACATTCCAAAATCTCTAGTGGATGCTGAAATTCAGAATAGTCCTGGAAAATATATAAATATATATATATAATGTTTTTTCTATAAATATATACCTGTGATAAAGTTTAATTTATAAATTAGGCAGAGTAAGATATTTAAAAACAAAAACTAATAATAAAATAGAGCAATTATCAAGTACACGACAGCATCACTACTCTTGCTCCTTGGAGTCGTTAGTAAGTAAAATAAGGGTTACTTGAACACAAGCACTGCAATATCTCAACAGTCAATCTGATAACCAAGATGGTTAATACTTGACTAACAGGCAGGTAGTATATTCAGCAGGGAAATGCTGGACAAAAGGATGATTCGCACTTTGGGTGGGACAGAACAGGATGGCCAGAGACTTCATCACACCACTCACAATGGTACACAATTTAATTGCTTATTTCTGGAGTTTTCCACTTAATGTTTTTGGGTCATGGTTGATTGTAAGTATCTGAAACCTTGGAAAGCAAAACTGCAGATAAAAGTGAAACTGTGCTGTTTAAAGCAGAGGAAGTAGGAGATCTGAGCTCTAGCCTAGCTAGCCTCCATCCCAAATAACCCCCAGGGCACCTTTGCAAGACTGAGTCTCCACAGACCTCAATTTGAAAACCAGTTTTGCACAAGACTATCCTACTGTGGTCCTTTGTTGATATAGTCAGCTCTCCATATCTGTGGGTTCCACATCTGTAGGTTCAACCAGCCACAGATAAAAATACATATTTTTAAAAATTGTGTCTGTATTAAACATGTATAGGTTTTTTCTTGTCATCGGTTTCTAAGCAATACAATTATAACTAGTATTTACATTGTTAGGTATTATAAGTAATACAGAGATGATTCAAAGTATACAGGAAGATATGCATATGTTATATGCCAATACTATACTATTTTATATCAGGAACTTAAGATGCTTTTTTCACTGCTCAAAACAGTTTCTGAACTCATCAATTTTGATGGCTTTTAGTGTTTCTGTTTTTTGTTTTACCCCTTCCACATCAGCAAAACGTTTTCCTTTGGGGACTTTTTTCATCTGGGGAAACAAACAGAAGTCACTGGGATGAGATTGGGTGAATAGGGAAGATGGGACATGGGGTTCATGCTGTTTTGGGTCAAAAACTGCTGAACCTCAGTGTAGTTGTGTGCAGATGCACTAGTAAAGCAACCAATGAAATTAACAAATGCATCGAAAGAATCTCCGAAAAAAATTCACTGAAGCCCAACACAGCCTCTCACAACAAAGCTAGCTGGTAGACTGATGCCAGTGGGTTCCTTAACACTTACTTAGCAGAAGCCTGTACTACAAGGGGCCCACCCCCCAAAAGGTAATTATGTTTTTGGGGGGATTCCCCTCTGTATGTATCTTTTTTCACTTAGTTAACTGCAGCAGTTTCATATGACAGAAGACACAATACAATAAAATTTACCCATATTTTGGATTGTTCAAAAAATCTTACCCTAAGACATTGGCATAAAAGTATTTTCTGTTCTTGTAAAAAATGTTAGTTTTGAATTTAACTTATATGTTTTGAGACTTTTCTGTCTTTCTGTTTGCATATGGATATATCCAATTCGTGTAACATCATGAATGGACTATCCCTAATTCATTCACACATGTATCTGGATTAGGCACTGCTCTGTTTTACTGGCCTGTTTTTCTTTCTCTGCTAGTACCACATTGCTTTAATTAGTGTCGTTTCACACTTACAGGGCACTTCATAACACCACCCCCCAATTCTTCAAAATTCCTTTGGCCTTTTACTCATCCATATAAATTTTAGAATTAGTTTGTCAGAGGGAAGAATTGCCAGTCCTCAATATTGACATTGATCTTTCTCATTCACACATTTCTTGCTACACTTTTTGGCCTTATTTTCTACAAAGTTGTGGCAAATCTTCTACAGAGCAAATTTTGCTTCTTGCTAGACTCCTAAGTATCTTATTTTTTGCTGTATTAAACAAAAACCTCAAAAACCTTTTTATAAAATTATATTTTATTGGTTTATTTTTGTATTAAAAATTACTGATTTTTATGTCTCTAACAGCCTTGCTGAATTATATCATAATTGTCTGCCTAGATTCTCTTGGGATTTCTATATGTACAAACATATAAATGATTGAAATAGAAAATGCAAAAATTCTTACTCTTCATGTTCTTTTTCCTGTTAAGGTGACTTCGATTTCAGGATCATAGAACCATACTAGCAGGCATCCTTATCTGTAGCTGTTGGTAGATGTTTGTCATCAAATTAATGTTCTACTTGTTTAAGGACATTTTAAAAACATTTTGAATGCATGCTGACTTTTAGCAGTAAATTCATTATTCCATCAAAATTTAAGTAGTTCTTGATTAATGATTCTTACTATTATGTTCAACTATTTTTTGGGAGCTTTAAACAATTTTCTAACTTCCTTTGGGTTTCCATATGTCTTATTCATTCATAGCCTGGGCATACTCCAACTAAGAATAATACTATTGTGAATAAAAAAAACTTAAGTTCTGTGGTGCTTACACAAGAAACACAGAATTGTAACAGCTATTCAGATATAAACAGTTATAGTTCAGAAAAGCGGTTTATGGAAATTGAGTCTCCAAATGTTAATGAAAATAGTATACAGAGCAAAAGAGAGGTAAGTATGATACTATAATATTAAAACTTTCCTTAAACTAAGATGGTTCTTGTAAGAATAAGATTATTGGCCTTTAGTGGTAATTATAATATTTTAATACCTTGTAACTGTTATTACCTAAAAATCTAATGTTTAAAGTATATAGAATGGCTTGCACATAGAAAACTATTTTTTTATTTTTAATTTAATTAATTAATTTATTTATTTATTTATTTTGAGTTGGAGTCTCACTCTTTTGCCCAGGTTGGAGTGCAGTGGCATGCACGCTCACAGCCACCCCAGCATTGACCTGCTGTGCTCTGGCGATCCTTCCACCTCAGCCTTCCAAGTAGCCGAAAATACAGACGCACACTACCACACCTGGCTATTTTTTTATTTTGTTTTATTGTAGAGACGAGGTCTCACCAAGTTGCCTGGGCTGGTCTCAATCCCACGGGCTCAGGCAATCCACTCGCCTTGGCCTCCCAAAGTGCTGGAATTACAGGCTGAGCCACCAAGCCCCGGCCTGGTTTTTTTTTTTTTTTTTTAAGTTGAAATTTTAAAAATGAGAGCAGTAAGATCTTAAATAGTGAGGATATAGCTGCTGAACCCCTGATTACATATTTATAATTGTGACTTTTCTGGTTTCACAAATATATAAGAATTTGTTTGGTTGCCACTATAAAAGTCCTTCACTCCCTCAATAAAAATGTTTTACTAATCTGTAAAATACAGATTATCAAGACAGAATTTTACAGCTTGAAGAGGGCTGAGATTTGGGCTAGACCTAATTGGATGGATGGGCATATACAGATTAAGTGGAGAAAGAAACAGTAACCTAAGTAAACATTACTATGTTAAAAAATAATAATAAAATAACTTGTGTGTTCAAACTGTAACATAAGGTTAGATGTGAAAGATGTGGTTTGAAAGAAAGAGTTTAAACTTAAGTCTTCTGTGGCTCCCCATTTTCTACTCGAATAAATGAAAATGCTAATAAGACTTGAAAAGCAGGAATAGTCAAAAGAGCCAGCTGAAAGCTATTACTGTAGGATTGAAGTCAACATAGAATCTAGGCTAACACATGGTAGTGTTAGAGATAAGAACAGGAGGATAGAAACGAAACAATCCGGAAAAGAATTGACAGCATTTGAAATGTATTGGAGTTAGAGTTTGGGAAAGACAGTTAAAGGCGAATCCAAAAGTATTTTTTAATCCTTTTTTCATTTCTAATATGTATTTTAGGGAAGCCATTCAGCATCTCCATCATCTATATCTAGTGGAGGAAGAGAAAAAACAAGGTTTGACATGTCCTGTGACACTACTCAGGTATCAGGTTTGTAGTCATACCTCTACTTTAAAAAAAAATAAACACAAATTACTGAACTACTACTGTGAGAATTTATCTAAAGGAATTATGTATTTTAAGTCATACTTTTAGTTTAGTTAATGTCAAAAAAGAAAATAAGTAAAACGAGATAGAATTTAATACGCAGTTGCCTAAAACACAATGCAAATAATTAAAAGAAACAAAGTCTTTTTAAAAACAAAATAATTAGACATTTAAATCAAAATTGTAACCCTTTAATTTTTCCTAAGGTACCACTCAATATCTTAGTCGCAAACGAGTGTACATAGAAGAGAATCTAAGTAATTCCAATGAAGGAGAAATGGAGGAGAATGAAGAAAGGAGGCCAAACTTGCTTCCCAAAAAACTGTGTAAAACCAAAGATGCAAAAAATCACATCTGCAAAAGTAGGTATATCAAAAGCCTGGGTCAAAATGCAAATATTTGGAAGGTGAAAAGATACCTGGAAAAGTCCAAGTAGGATGATGCTTTATCACAAAGTAGTAAGGAGCTTAAATATTCACAGATCTCCCTCATCATTCTATCACTTTTTACCACATTTAAGTTTTACTAGAGTATGAATTTACTGATGTGTTAGTGCATCACTAAATACTTACATTAGCAATAACGTGGTCAAAAGCAGTTTTAAAATAATCCCCAAATGCTCCAGTTTAAACTTTCATTTCTGCAGTGATAGCCATGCCAAAGGTTTTTTTTTAAAGTAAGAATAATTTCACTTAAAATTTTTTTTTTAAAAAAACCATAATGAGGTCTGCCTTTGATTTCATACTTTAGGCTGTACATATAATCTGAAAATTAGATTTTGTTCTTAACCTAATAACAAAGCTAAATTTATAATAATGCATATTTTAACCTTAGCTGATTGTCTTTATTTTTTAGTGTCTGAAAGTATATATTCAACAAATGACTTTTCTATTCCCTGGGAGAACTGGGATAATGAATTTTCAAATGTAAGGATGACTTGTGAGACTTCTGAGAAGCTCAATTCAGAATTTAAGAGGAGAAGTCATGTGAGTTATTCTTTAAATTACAATTTATACTTAATATGATAATATGCCACACCTTCTACTTGTTTCTTTGGTAACAAAACATCCATTCATGAGCCCAACTCTCCTCATATGTGATAGGGAGTAATTGTTAGTTTAAAAAGTTTATCTCATGAGCTGAGTTTGTCTTCTAAAATCTGTATAGTATCTGTAGTCTTTCTTGTACTACTTGTTCTTTCTCTTTTATTCTGTTTTCCTTCAATTTAATATTTTGGCTGTTATGTGATTTTTCTTTATTTTTATGGACGATTTTCATGTCTCATCTTTTCTAGACATTTTTAATCTCACAGAAGTACCAATAGTGAGGCTAGTGTAATATAGTATAAAGGATGAGCAACTGCAGTCAGAGAAATCCTATTTCATTTTGTTCTACTAGCTTTGTTCTTATATATCTTTAGCTTTTGAGGTTTCATTGAGGTAATAAATACAAACACCCACTTTTTAAAACAATTTTTAATTCTTAGTAATTTTTTTATGCCCATCTCTTTCTTTCACATGCCTATATTTGGAATAGATAGTTCATTTACATCCTTCTCTAAGTAAAAGATATTTTTCAGCACAGGTTATCAGCCCTATCTCTTGCTTGTCTTTCTCCTATTCAGGGGTAAAATCTGAAGTTATTTAAAGTTCTGTATATTTGTTTTTATTTTATTTGCCCAAGGTCAACCTGACATAAATAGTATATTATTAGTATATTCTGTTATGTGTCTGTGACTAGATGTGAATATATGTTTTTGTGAAAAATGGTTTAAAAAATAATTCTGAGTGTGACTTTTAGGCAGTGCCCTTGAAGAGAATTACAATCACTAGCATTTTGGTAAATACTGTAGAGTGTGCTATTCTTAGGAAAACAACTGGCAAGTCAACCTGTAGCCAAAGCCTTACTGATGGAGTTAGATACTGTTCTGAGTGAGGTTATTTATTAATACTCAAGTTTAAATAACTGAGTTTTTAATTTTTCACTTTTTCAAGTTCTTCTTAGTGACTTCCATTTTATGGAAAAGGCATTGCTCTTAGTATTGTCTCTGTTTGATATTATTCTGTAAAGATATTTTAAGTTAAAAGTGAGTATCTTTCAGCTCCGCGGTAAAATCATAAATTATTTTACTAAAGAGTCTTGGAAAACAGCTCAACAACATCTGAAAACAATGAATCATCAACGTCTGGAGTATAGGTCTGTAATAATCTGTTCTGAAAACTTTTGAATGCTATATATTCATGTTTTGAATGCTATAGTTTTAAAAATTAATCTCACTTTGTTTTGATAGGATTAAAACACTTAACAAATTCCAACTCATTATCATAGAGGAACTGGATAATTTTGAAAAAGAATCGCAGTCTTTAAAAGATTTGGAAAAGGAATTCGTGGTTTGTTGCTTTTTATGATATTTAAAAATTTTTAAATCTCGTTTTTAAAGAGCTACATTTGGAAAAACTCATTTGCTTTCTGCTTTGAGAACACATCCTAAAGCTTTTTGTTCTTTAGAATGTAATTTACTTTTTAGATTTTTAGTCGTCATATAAATACCACTAAAATTATAGATTTAAGTTTATGATAAATATCTTGGAAAATAAGGGAGAAATTTTACTTTTAGTTTTTTTATCTGAAAGAGTGTATGACATCTGGAATGTTCTTTTTTTTTTTTTTTTTTTTGAGTTGGAGTCTCACTCTGTCGTCCAGACTGGAGTGCTGCCGGCCACCTCAGCCTCGACCTGCTGGGCTCCGGCAATCCTTCTGCCTCAGCCTTCTGAGTAGCCGGAACTACAGACACGCGCTACCACGCCCCCTGATTTTTTGACTTATTGTAGAGATGAGGGCTCACCAAGTTGCCCAGGCGGGTCTCAAACCCACTGGCTCAGGCAATACACTCACCTCAGCCTCCCAAAGCGCTGGGATTACAGGCTGAGCCACGGAGGAGCCCAGCTTGGAAAATTCTTAACATATGGCTAAATTATTTAAATGTAGAATAATAGAAATATAGTAATTCTGTTGTTTTAATTTTAATCATATTAATGTTTAATTAAAGGTTTTTACATTTCAAAATTTAGGATTTTTGGGAAAAGATATTTCAAAAGTTCAGAGTATACCAAAAAAGTGAACAGCAGAGGTTAGTATGACATTCTTAATGACTAGAGTCTGTAAAATTAGATTTATTTAACAAGTTTATATTATTTGAAAAGTTAAAATTACTATATAGCAGTTTGATTTGAATTATTGATAACTATAAGGAAAACCTCATTATTTTACTTGTTAGGTTTCATCTTTTGAAAACTTCATTGGATAAAAATGTCTTCTATAATACTGATTATGAAGAAACTATTTTTACATCTGAGGTATACATATTATGTTTTTTATATGTAATCTTTCTTGATATTAGTCTACCTTGTCTTTTTTTGCTGTGAAAACTGGTAAATTTCATAGGGGAAATAATTTCCTTTACAGATGTCTTCGATGAAAGAAAACATGAAAAAGCTGCAAAACAGGCTTCTTAAGGAAATGGTAAATCAACTGAGTTTGAAAAGCTGAACAGTCAGGCTTTTATGTATTTTAATTGGAAATTCTTTCATAGAGTTTTCTTTTTATTTTGGGGTTGGGAGAAGACAGTTTTAGCCCAATTACTTTTAGTTCTTCAAATTAAATAATGAGAACATCATTATAGTAAAAGAATAGGGGTAATTTAAATAGTGAAGCCCCCCTGAGGAGTAAAAGAATATAAATACAAATTGAAAAATTACCTAAATGACTTTTTGACTGTTTCTTGGGGGGGGGGGGTGCTTTTTTTTTTTTTCCCCCACTGCAGCAAGCAGGCCTCTCTCCTGCTCTGCCTTCTGGAGAAGAAATGGCAGGACAACACTCACCAGAAAGTCTGTAGTTTAAGTGGAAGAATTATTGTCCACTTGGGCAAAACTTCATTTATTTAGATGAGGGATAGAATTAGTTGACTTTCCAAACACCTAGACCAGCAGTACATTCTGGAGGAAAAAGTGGAGCTAGGAGGGACTTAAGACACTGCTTTAAGTGAACATGTCTTTTGGTGTTTTCACAATGATGGAGGCATTTTTAAGTACACTGGTCTTTGATTATAGTATATATTAATGTACTTACAAAGTTTTAATTGGCGTTCAGTCTGCTGTAATAGCAGGGGATCAGGATGTAGATAAGCTAGTTTAGCTTAAAGCAAATGACACTAAGTTGACCCTTGTTGAAAATTTTTTTTAGATTATTTTTATTTTACTCCCTTTAATATTAAATACAAATTGGAGATCTTCTCTCAATTGATCATCACAAATATCAGTAATGATCACAGAATTCTGTAGATACCTAGATATAGACCCTGAGGGATTGGGTAGAATGAGCACTGATTCATAGTATCCTTTTAAAATGAATCCCTAATAACAGCCTGATTTTTTTTTTCTATTTTATTTGATGGTTTTATAGTAATAATGTAAAAGCTAAATGTTTTGTTTTTTTTTTTCTTGGCTATAGCAAGAAGAGGAGATTCTTAATGTAAGAAGAGGACTAGAGTTCATTATTCATGGCTCATGAAAGAAATGTTAATGTGTAAAGTCTAATTTTTATCAACATGTTTTATCTCTTTGTGTATAACTGAGTAAATAACAGAGTAGTCCTGCAAAGAAAAAAATACTCATGTCACCCACGTAAATGTCTCCGTGTAGGGAACCCCAAATTCAAAGAAATGTCTTTTAATGGATAAGAAAGAAACACTGTAACATGATTCCAAGCCTAAAAGACTTTTGCCTACACAATGGTACTTTTTTTTGTTGTTGGAGAGAAAAAGTTTTGGGAAACTAAACACTAATTGTTTATGTTAAATAATATTGAGTTATTCATACTCATAAAACTTATTTACACTTTATTATATAAAATATATTTTAAAATAAGTATAGTTTGGAGATAAATAAAAAGTATATTATTAAAATGTCTGTTTAACAGTTTAGAATATACTACAAGTAATACAAAGTTGGCCACATTTAGAAGGGGAGGAAGTTCCTGATTTAAAATGTTTACCTGAGTAAACACTGTTGGAGATATTTATTCAATTATGCCTCTAGTATATTAGGCACTAAATGGCCTAAAAATGGCTACAACAATGCCCAAATAGTTTTTAAATTTTATATTAAAGTTGTGGGGTACAAGTCAGGTTTGCATACCTAAGTGGTTTAGGTACAGGTGAAGCTTTGGACCTCCCATTGGACCTCACTTCACCTGGATTAGGATCAGGAACCCTTATTAATGTTATATGTCCCCTACCTCCTCTGGTAGTGTCATACTGCCAGTGCCTAAATATTTTAATTCAATATGGGAGTCTTAATTTGTAAGCAGTCCATTTGATAAGCACTTTTAATCTCCTAGTATTCATTGTAATATTTTGATAGATTAATTTATAAAAATGAATACATTTTGATTTGCTTTGATATATTGAAGTTGAAATAAATGCTTATGTCACTTGGATAATTATACTGTAAGATGATTTTATAAATCATATATTTCTATTTTGTGCTGGATCAAACAAATATTCTTTTTTTTTTTTTTTTTTTGAGTTGGAGTCTCACTCCATTGCCCAGGCTGGAGTGCAGTGGCACACTCATGGCCACCCCAGTGTCAACTTGCTGGACTCCAGTGATCCTTCCACCTCAGCCTTCCAAGTAGTCAGAATTACAGGCATGTGCTACCATGCCCAGCTAATTTTTGATTTATTATAGAGACAAGGTCTTGCCAAATTGCCAGGGCTGATCTCGAGCCTATGGACTCAGGCAGTCCACTTGCCTCAGCCTCCCAAAGTACAGGCTGAGCCACCGAGCCCAGCCAATGAATACCCTTCTTTAATCAGACACCCAAAGTATAATACCAAGCAACCTTATTATCCTTTGCCTATTTAATGGTAGCAGAGTATTTGAATAATACCAGTAATTAAATACAGTGGGAAAAGTGGTCTCTTAGTCAAAATAAGCAAAAGAAAACCTTCTCATCTTAATTTTATGCAATTATTAGCATCAGCTAAGGTTTATTGATAGGGTAGCGGGGTTTCTAGTTTAAGAGAGTGGCATCCCTGCTATAATATTAAATACCACTCAGGAGTTGCAACTCCATTTTTGCTCTGTGAGGCTTGAGAACCAATTCCCTCATGATTTACCACCCTGTTTGCCTTGTCTTCAGCCAAATTTGTAAGACTCCTAAACCATGTGTCATACTTATTACCCCATTGCACTGCATGTGTAATCCATCCCAGGTTTGTACTTCCTCCAGGGCCTTCTAAATCTTTCTGCTATAACCTTATCATTACCAATAGTCGTGCCCCTCTGAATCTCAATTTCCAACATTCTTATCATCCCAGCCTTTCTATCTTTCCAACTTGCTTTGTAGAGCAGTCCCAGGTCATTTACTCTACACATTCTTTTGTCCTTCCTTTCTTAGTCATTCTAGATTCCATAGATCAAAATAATAATCTTGCCCTTTCTCATTCTGTTAATGCTATTTGCTAATTCTCATTCCTTATTCTACCAATTGAACACTGGAGAAAAATCAATCAAGCTTTAAATTTATGGCCACATAACTCAAACTGGCACACAGCATTGCTCAGCAACCCTTACTCTGCCCTATTTAATTGGCTTTACCACATTTCCAAAGTATTATTGTATATTTATTCATTACCTTTGATTTTTCTTTCCTGGTTTTTATAGTCTAAGTTAAGTGCATAAATAAGACCCTCCCTTGACATCAAGTTCTTCTCAAACTACTGTTCTTCCCATGTAATTCTTCACTCACCTTTATAGAGAACAAAACATATCAAAATAATCTTTCCTTGTTACTATCTCAACTTATTCACTTCCTATTTGCTCCTTACCTTTCCTCAGTATAGCTTCTGTGCCTTCTATTTCATCAAAATTACTTTTATCAAAAATTACCAGTCATATATGTTGCCAAATCTTAAGCTCTTCTTTCATAGCTTCTCAGTGGTATTTCACATTTAAAACCCTCAGCTGGAAATAATTTGTCACTCCTTATCTTTTTCCTGGTTTCCTCCTTACCTCTTAATGTGGGCTTCATTCCTAGTCTCTCACATTTCCTCAATTTATACTTTCTCCTTAGGTAATTTCATCTCATCCCATGTAATAACCATTTCTTTGTTGATGATTCCCAATTTGTAAAAGTTCTGATCTTCACTTTGTATATCAGAATATTATATACATTGCTTGACAGTTCTAATAAGCATCTCAACTCTCAAACTGACTCTCTATTTCTCTTCCTCACATTCTCTCTCATCACTAAAGAAAAGAAAAATACACGTTTTCTTCCTATCTCAGTAAAGTCACTTTTATTCACCCAACCGTTCAAGTCAAAACCTAAAAGTAATTTCTGATTTCTCTTTTTCCCTCAGCCAAACAGTAAATTGATCAACAATTCCTATAGATTCTATTGCCAGAGTATGTCCCACATGTGCATATTTTCTGCAGATTCCACTGTCTCTGACAGTGTCATCATAATTATCTCTCACACAGACAATTTCGACAGCCCCCTAAATGGCTTTCTAGCATTCATACTTTCCTTTTCTGTAATGCATTATTCACTTAGCAGCCACGTTGTCTTGCTAAAGCATAAATTATACAATATCATCCCTTAAAACTCTCCAGTGACATCACACTCTTAACTAATGGGTCAAGAATAAACTCAAAGCCGGGCTCGGTGGCTCAGCCTGTAATCCCGTGCCTTTGGGAGGCTGAGGTAGGTGGATTGCCTGAGCCCACGCGTTCAAGACCTGCCTGGGCAACTTGGCAAGACCTCATCTCTACAATAAATCAAAAATTAGCCAGGCGTGGTAGCGCGCACCTGTAGTTCCGGCTATTTAGAAGGCTGAGGCGGAAGGTCGCCGGCGCCCAGCAGGTCGAGGCTGCAGTGGCCGGAGCGGCCACTGCACTCCAGTCTGGGTGACAGAGTGAGACTCCAACTCAAAAAAAAAAAAAAGAATAAACTCATAAGGGAAATTATAAAACATTCTGGGACAAATGAAAATGAAGCATACCCAAACATGTGATACAGTGAAAACAGTGCTCAGAGGAATGTTTATAGCTGTAAGCGTCTGCATTAAAAAGGAAGAAAAATCTTAAATCAATAATCTAACTATAAAGAACTAGAAGAAGAGCAAACTAAATTCAAAGCTAACGGAAGAAAATGAAAACTAGATAAGAAACAAAATAGAAAAAAAAATCAACAAAACCAAAAATTAGTTTTTTTAAAAGATCAAGAAAATAGATAAATCTTTAACTAACAAAGATAAACAAGACTCAGATTACTAATATTAGAAATAAAAGTTGGGGTCATCACTACTGATCTTTTGAAAATGAAAAGGATTGTGGGAGAATACTGAGAAAAATTGAAGGCCAGCAAGTTAATTGACCTATATGAAACTGATAAATTTCTAAAAACACAAATTACCTACACTGACTCAAGAAATAGGAAGTATGAACAGACCTATAAAAAGACAGAATTAGTAATCAAAAACCTCCCCCCAAAAAATTCTGGCAAACATTTAAAGAAGAATTAGGACCAACTCTTCTTATTTGTTTTATAATTTGTTTTAGAGACAGGGACTTCTTAACTCTGTTACCCAGACTCTAGTGCAGTGGTGCAGCCATAGCTCATTTTAATCTTGAACTCCTGGGTTCTCTTACCCTACCCAGTAGCTCAGGCATGTGCCACCATGCCTGGCTATTTTAGTTTTTGTAGAGACAGGATCTCACTTTGTAGCCTAGGCTGGCCTTGAACTCCTGGCCTCCAGTGATCCATCTGCCTCAGCCTACTTAGTAGCCTGTCTATTTTCTTAAGGATTATTTTTGTTTTGTTTTGGGGCGGGGGTTATAGATAGGGGTCTCACTATGTTGCCCAGGCTGGTCTCTAACTTTTGCTTTGAGGGTTCCTCCTGCCTCGGCCTCCCAAAGCGTTGGAATTATAGGCATGAGCCATAGCACCCAGCCCAATCCTTCTTAAACTCTTTCAGAAAATAGAATAGTAAATTCCTAACTCATTTGATAAGGCCAGCATCACCTTAATATCAAAGTCAGACAGCAGCATTACAAGAAAACTACAGACCTGTAATTTTTGTAAATATAAAAGCACAAACCCTCAACAAAATAGCAAATCAAATCCAGCAGCATATTAAAAGGATTCCATACCATGACCAAATTTGACTTATTCCAGCAAAACAGGGGTGGCTCAACATATGAAAATCAATGTAATACCATATTAATGCAATGGTGAAAAATATGATCATTTGATGTCCAAAAAGCATTTAACAAAATCCAATATCCTTTTATGATAACACTGAAACAGAAATAGAAAGGAGCTTCCTCAACATGATAAAGGGTATTTATGTAAAGCCCCATAACTTCCATGATATTCAATGGTAAAAGACTAAAACCTTCCCTCCTGCCTGCCTCTAGACTAAAGACAAGGATGCTTGCTTTCACTATGTGTATTTAACATTGTACCAGAAGTTCTACCTAAAGCTAAAAATTATGCAAGAAAAAGAAAAGGCATCAAAGTAGG